CCGGCGGCCGCCGCAACCCCGCCGTCGGATCAGGTGGCTTGGCTCCCCCCCCCCCCCCCATATCGGGAGGAGACGTCGGTGTTACCGCCGACATATGGACCGAATGCTACAGCAACAAACCCTAGGTACGATTTTCGGGCTCAACAAAGTTCGGAGAAAAATAAAGATCATAGGTAGCATCCTAATCCTAACAATGTTGGACACAACTTCTAATATACCATAAAGATTTTATGTGGTATTTTATTTATGTGTCAAGAATGTAGTTTTTAGTTGGGCTAATACCACTACAACACCCGAACTATCCGAAAAATGCCACTTGTGTCCTATTCTTTTCAATATTCCATTTATGTCCTTTCGTATGTTCTTTTTTGTCATTTGTGTCCTCCCGATTTTGTTGACCGTTAAAGATAACGGTTGACCAAACGGAGGTCAAATTGTTGTTGACTTTTGCTGACATGGCAAAGTATGTGACATCCACGTAGGCGCCATGTCATTGCCACATCATTTTTTACTAAAAAATATAATAAAATTAAATTATGAAAATAAAAATGATAAGTTTTAAATTTAACAATATTACTAAAAAATATTTCAAACATCCAAAATTGACAAAAAAAAAAAGTTTATCTCCCTCACCCGATACTCTGGCTCCTCTCACTCTGGTTCATCCAACAAGGACCCCCACCGACTTCGACTGGTGCGATGACGGCGCCGTCGGCAGGGGAATTGATTCCCCTCTCCTCTCCTCTCCTTTCCCAGACCCGCCGCCTCCCCTCCCTCCATCTCTCGTCAATCATCATTCATCATCAATAATGCCCCCTTATCTAAAGAGCTAGACTGAGATGGATTGTAGATATGGATTCTGCCATGCCCCAATCCGTCGACGCCTCACCTAACCACAACCGCAACCATTTTCCTCACTGCCCCAACTCCAATCGTCTCCCTCGTTGAAGCACTCACTTGCTTTCGCCGCTGCCATAACGGGTGGTGACCGCGACACCAGATCGACGCTGAAGAAGAGATGACAGAGCACGACAATAGAGGGAAAGAGATGGTGATGGCAGGGTCGATATTGAGTAGAGAAGTAGGGTCGCCATTACAGATTGGGGGGTGGGTGGGGATTTTCAAGAACCCAAAATCCTACTACCCTAATCGATGAACAAGAACCTCCTCCTTCGATCTCTTCTTCCCCTGGAAAAAAATAAAAAACCAAACAGATCTGAAATAGTTTTTTTCCGAGCATCCTCGTGAACAGCGGCGACCTCGCCTGTATCCTCGATCGGGTGGATTTCCTCCCGCACAAGCGCCTGCTGGCTGCTGCTATCCTCTCTTATGAGGATCCGGAAATATTTGGTCGGAGAAACAGAAAGAAGAAGCCAGACGTTGGTAAAAAATCATTTGAGTTATTGTTTTATTTTTGTAATTTTCCATAATTTTTATTTTGTTTTCCTTATTTTAATTATTTTATATGAAAAAATAAATGAAAATTGATAATAAAAATTTCACGTCAGATGCCACGTCAACGATGACTGGATTTTCTGTTAAATACTAACGGTCAACGCCGGTCAAGACTAACGGAATAATAGTTCAGGACACAGATGGAATATTGGAAACAATAGGACACAAGTGGCATTTTTCGGATAGTTCGGATGTTGTAGTGGTATTAGCCCTTTTTAGTTTTTAGTTTTTTACTTAGACGTGACACCCATTTTATATAAAATCCTTAGTATTGTCATTTTTCAAAATACAAAAAGAAAAAAAACTTGTTTATGATGTTTTGAACTACATGAAAAAAGTGGCAGGGGAGAGGTACCACCATAGAATCATTATGGGAGCGAGCTCCCTAAATCTTTCTTACAAGGTGATCCGCGTATAGTATATTACTCTGTCGAATAGTCTACTGATATAAGGTATCTGGCGAATCAAGATAATTGTCTAGAGAAAGATACAAAATTCGTTATCTTTGGCATGATGAATTAGATATCACATCGGAAAAACAAGTGAGAAAGACACTTGTATATAATTTGGCCTTCTTAATTGATGATTTGGGAAACTTGTTATTTGAGACAATTACAACACAAATGCCACGTTACCAATTACTTGTTATTTGGCGTGTGATATTTGTCCAAAATCATGTTTGGCAAGGGTTAATGATGAGTATTTTTGTGAAAGGAAGACTGAATAGATGACTCATGTACGAGGAAAAGTGATAAATAAAAATGAAAAAGAAGGTGTGATAAGATCCCAAACTCGTGAAAACCTAGGTTCTTTTGATCAAATCGTGCAGTCACAATTTTTTAAGGGTTTTTTCTGAATTTTCTCTCAACAACACGAAAAATAAAAGAATAGGGCGGATTGAAGTGCAATCTCACACATGGGCTGGGAGAAGGCTCTATCAATATAAGGGTCGAAGCTCAACCACAATGAAGGGGAATACTTGATTGATACAGTGACAACACTGAACGCAATTGGAGTCCACCAACGACGAGAGCAAAATTTAAGAGTAAAAACTCAATGAAACGAAAAAGGATTTTCTATTCAACATTAATATCCCTCAAACCAGAGTTTACAACCCTTTATAGGTCTGGAAAATAAAACTAATGAAAGTACAGAAAAGAAAAAAGAATCTTAAACGAAAAAAGTAACTAAAACTCATCAGCCCAAATCCCCTATTGACACCATCAAATCCCCTATAAGGAATGAGCACCCTCGCGTTAGGGGGGGTGCTTCGAATCTCATTCCTCTATCGCGATCCTCAGATCCCCTATATGGGATTTTAACCCACATGATAGGGGATTTTTCCTGATCACCATACGATTTTAGGCTGCTCGTTTGGTGTCTAGAAAGCTTCCAACTTCTCATCTAATCCCATTATGAGCTTTCATCGAATGGCTCCCAATATGATCGAGTAAGCGTCCAAAGTAGGTACCACATACTGTTTCCCAGACTTCCAAATTTCCAGCTTCTTCTTCCCTTGACGTGGTGTCTTCTTTGAAGATCATTGGAAATGGTTTTGGGTCACAACCTAAGATCTCATCAAGGTGGACTTTGGAATTAACAAAAAAAAATGATAACAATATTGGGAAAAAAACATAAGCAACTTGTTACTTGCATAACACATGTATCCTATCATTTGTCAAATTACACAAACGTGGTATTAATTTGAACATTAGCATATTCCAAATAATACATTTTATTTTTTCAATCAAACATGTTCTTTGGGTCCAAATAGCACTCAAATCATCAATTCAAACGATCCATAAGTATCCACCAAACTCCATTAGTACAAGGCATTTTGGAAAGAAATCCAAAAGTGAATTCGTGTGGGTTTGGATCACTTATTTAATTTTGGATAGATTCCCAAAAGGCCTCTAACTAATTGAGCTAGGTGAACACTTATATATAAGGGGTACTTTCCCTTCTTTGATATGGTACTTCGATTGTATCATAATGATCCTCTCCTTTATACAAGGATCACAAACTTTGTGTCCTCTCATTAACGATTATGTTTATCCACCAAACACCTTGTATCGAAAGGCTCTTTACACAAAGATATACTAGTTGCAGCTCGTCTTTGATCCACCATAAAGATGTAGATTTCAAATCTCAAGGTCACAGAATGGGGGTCCACCAAACTACATCCAACGCCCTAGATATGAACTCAGAACTATACTCTGATGACACTTGTTGAAACAATGCTCTATTAGTATGATACTGTCCACTTTGGGTCAGATGCGCAGAGATTTACTTTTTGGCTTCTTCTCTAAAAGCCCTCTTACTAATGGAGTAAGGTACAATGGGCATTTCCTTTGTATATCCAATGTGGTACTTTGATGTCTAACAATCTTTCACTCACCACAAGGACCACGCACTTCGTGTCTTTCCCTCAATGATTATCTTAATCCACTAGACATCTTGTATTGACGGGCTCTTTGATAAAAGATTTACCAGATAATCTATGATCCGTTAGGCATACACGAATTTACATTACCGTGATTTCCTAATCAGGGCACACCAAACTAGCATCCACTATCACGGATCTGAATTTCAAAACAAAACTCAAATACTGCTTGGGGGAAAAAATGATGTCACCGAGTGAGGGTCCAGAAAACTAGGGTCCATCGCCGCATATTTGAATTAAGAAACCAAACTTTGATACCCCTTGTTGAGACTAGATACTCCATTAGTATGATATTGTTCGTTTGGGCCAAGTCCACACGTATTTACTTTCATGTTACTTCTCAAAAAGGCTGCATTCATCAAACTATGATACCACTTGGTGAGAACATGTGCTCAATTAGTACAATATTGTTCACTTGGGCTAGGCTGGTCCGCACATATTTACTTTTGGGTTCCTTCCCAAAATGCCTCGTATTAATGGAGCTTGATGTACACTTATATACAAGAGCATTTTTCCTTGTCTTCTGGTGTGATACTTGGATTGTACAATAACGAATATAATATTAATGTTCTATACATGCTTTAAATATTGAATCATTGAAAATATACGCTCTTACCCTGTCGCTATGCGAACTGTTGCCTAAAAGCATCCGCATTAAAATTTCATTTCGAATTGCAACATGACATTCATTTACAACTGCATTGATAGATATCACAATTGCATTTGCATGCAATTACGGGTTGCTAACTACATCATTTTATTATTTTTATTATTATTATTTACGTGTTTATGTTTTTATAATTATCTTAGAAAAACTAATTAGTGCATTGATATTATAAAATTAGTATGAGTTGGATTGTATAAATTGTAAAAGTGAATACATGTCATTGATCTTGTAATTGCATGGACGATGAATTGACGTGAATATCTAACGACTAACCTGCAACAATTGTAGCTAGGTTTGTCAGATGTCAAAAGTCCGGGTTCTTTTTGTTCATAGTGTCAAATTTCAGGTATATAAAAGTATTTGGCAAATCTAAGATGAAAATGAACTCATTCATCGGGAACGGAAAAAGAGAAACTTACTGACAAACAGCCCCAAGGACGGGCTCCTCTTTCTAGGTACCAATCTGCGCTGGTCAAATCTCTTTCTGTCTGTATTCCTCATTCGCCAACGTGGCTGAATAGAACAGCCTTTTGCTGTGATTGATTTCGCCGATTGCTGATTTCTTTAAGCTTCTGATTCTGCTTCTGCCTTCTACGTATCAAAGGAATTCACGATAATGGCGGTTTAGGTGCTTCTGTGGTTAGGGTTTTGGTAAAATTTCCGAGAAGAAATGAAAGGCGGAAGTGCCGCGAAGCTGATCGTTGATGCGCTTCTACAGCGATTTCTTCCCCTTGCTCGGCGCCGTATCGAAACGGCTCAAGCTCAGGTCAGTGCACTTCTGTTTCTACATTTGTTTTCGACTTGCTGAACCAATTTCGTCTTCAAATTTGCTCATTACAAAACCACCCGGCCGGTTCCTGGTACTGGAACTGGATTACCTTCAATGGCAATGATATGTACTTAGTTTCCTTCCTCTCACTATTAGTGCATTATGTCTGGTACTCTAGCCGTAATGTCCCCCGTCCCGTTTGCTCTGCAGAATTGCCTCATTATTTGTTCGCGAGCTTCACAATTATAGGGGAACATGCCATGCCAATTTTCCGTTCTGTGTATACTCGTTACAATGCAAGTTGGTAAATTGATTTCTTTTGGACATTTGTAGGATGGGCAATACCTTCGACCATCAGACCCTGCTTATGAGCAGGTATTAGATTCCCTAGCTATGATTGCCCGGCATACTCCAGTTCCTCTCCTAGAGGCTCTTCTTAGATGGAGGGAGAGGTGTGTTCTCCTGGAAACTGAAATCCTTCTATTTGTGTATTATCTTTGGCCTTCTGTACTTCACTTTCATTTTCTCTCCACTTGAATTTTGGTAAGCCAAGTAAACCGTAGTGGAGAAGAGGAAAATGGATTCAACTGTCGTTTTTAAGTAATTATTTAACTGACATCTCGAATCTTAATTGCAGCGAATCTCCTAAAGGTGCAAATGATGCATCTACATTCCAAAGAAAGGTTTGTCAAGACCTAATACTTGCATCATATAGGAATTGGTGGTCTTTGTGGTAAAAATTTGTTATGTGAACTATTGGTTATAGTATATGTTGTGTTAGTGCAACCTTCTATGCTGTCCCACCCCTACTTTACTCTTGTTAAGGCATTTTGGGTGGACATATTTTCTGTTCAGGAACTTTCAAAAGACGGTTTGTAGCAACATATCGGCCATTATGGATTCACATGATCTCAGTAATCAGTTCACTAAAATATTTTAGTTGGCTTTTGCTGCTACTTATGGTACAGTGGATATCGTTGCTTCTAGGTTTAGCGCCTGGGTACATTAGGAGAGTTTCATGGCGGAATAGTATCTTTGGATTGTCTCACTAAGTTTGTTGGTCTTTCCCAAGTACCACAGCTTATGATGAACTTTGCCAAGTTTAATTTGGCTTAGCTTGAGAAGTTGTGGCTTTGGATTGTCTCACTAAGTTTGTTGGTATTTCCCTTATAGATAGCAGATTCACTATTCGTAGGAAGCATGATAGTGTGGTTCGCAGCATATGACTAGAAATGCATCTCTTGATTTAGGAACTTACTATATGTTTGATTCACTTGATAGATCAGAATGAAGTCAAAGGTAGTATGGGATGAGGAAATGGAGGTGGTGTATCGGTGGTTTTGGTATTGGTTGTGGTCATGCTTGTCTAAGATATGTGATGTTATGCTGATTCTGTTGTCTGATGCAATGATTTTTGTTGTTCTCTATCTGTATGTGATTGAATAGGCGAATCTAGGTTGTCCTGGATTCAGTCAATAGTCTTAGCTATATTGTCTTATGGTAAGCATTGCCTTGGTGATACAATTGTTATCTGTTTATTTTTTCTCAACAGCAATTGATTTCGAATTTAATACCCTTTTTATGCAAGACTAGCTAGCTGTGGAGTGTATTTTCTGCTCAGCGTGTATACGATTTGTGGAGTGCTGCCCACAGGAGGGACTTACAGGTTTGTTCAAGAATGTGAATTAGTTTCTAGTTCTTCTAATATTTGGTTCTTGTGTGAAATGACATTGCTAATTTTTATTGCAGAGAAGCTGTGGTCAGGGCTTGAGAATTTTGTGTTCGATTGGTTAATTAATGCTGACAGGTACGGCTATGGAATACAGTCATAGGGTGTAGGCTGAAGGTGATCATGTAACTAGCTATGCATCTGTACTGGGGTTGTGCCAAAAAAAAAAAAAAAGTAAAGATAGACATTTGGGACCCACTTTACTTGAGTGCAATTGTTTAAATACCTCATGCTCCCATTTATTCAAGATACTGCATTGCTTTGGTGCCATTTCGAATAGTTTTGTTATTTGAATCACCGTAACATACATAAAAATGTCCACAAAATTTGTTCGCTTTCCACCCAATTGCATGTGATCATTAATAATGTGTAGAAAACCTGAATATTCCAACTAATCCATCCCTGCATATACCTCTATGCTGTTTACTTATTTTTATCTGTTATAGTTCTCTGTTATCCTGTGTATTCTGCTTGTTACTTGTTATAGTTCGCATGATTTTTTTTGGATGAATTATAGCTCACATAATTGATCTCTATTTTTTGCAGGGTTGTTAGTCAGGTTGAATATCCCTCATTGGTAGATTTGCGTGGCCTTCTCTTGGATCTGGTTGCTCAACTCCTTGGGGCCTTATCTCGCATCAGGTAACTAAATTGTTGCATTATGACCTTGACGGATGTTATTTTGTATGTCATTGTAAAATGTGGACGAAGCACTGGCTGACTTTTTGGGAAAATCTGTTGCAGCATTAGTTGGTAACCTTAGTTTTTATGTAATTGTATTTTTTCCCCCTTGCCACAGGTTTAGCTCAGTAACTGAGCGCTTTTTCATGGAGCTAAATACACGTCGGATTGACACTAGTATGGCCCGAAGCGAAACGCTCAGTATTGTCAACGGAATGCGATACTTGAAACTTGGGGTATGTATGTCTTTACCTCTTATGTGGCTCTTGGAGAAATTCTGGGGCTGTTGTTCTTCTGGGGTCTCACTTCTCACAATCTCAATTTTAAGTCATGAAAAAGACTGTATAAAGCCTAAGGTCTGGCCAAACAGATAGTGAGAAAAGTGTGTTTGACAATTTACACCGGGGCATGGGCAGGTTAAGACTGAGGGGGGCCTAAATGCATCAGCTTCTTTGTGGCCAAAGCAAATCCCTTGAACCGTGCTCCACACAAGCGCAAAAGTGAGCTCTACCATGCACTCTGTAATATGCTCTCGAACATCCTAGCTCCACTGGCAGAGGGTGGAAGAAACCAATGGCCACCATCAGGGGTACACAATGCACTTACTCTATGGTATGAGGCTGTTGGCCGAATAAGGATGCAACTTATACATTGGATGGACAAGCAAAGCAAGCATATAGCTGTAAGTGCATCTTAGATAGCCTGCGGCATCAATTTTTTTATCCTCCCATGGTTTTGAAGCATTGAGCAACTCTGTGCCGTATTCCCAAGGGAGAAGCTGTGTTTATTATCATTTGGATAAACTGACCTGTTGAGTTCACTTAGGCATAAACAATTTGTCCGAGTTGATTCATAACGTTTGGTAATTGTTTAGTCGATGCCACCTAAAATCTTGAAAAATGATATCTGGTCATGCTGATGCAATAGGACTCTTGGAAAACCATTTATTTTTGTATTTAACTGAAAAAATGATTGCCGAAATTGAGTTTACAACCGGGTTTTGAATTTTTGTTCACCTTTTTCGTACTTAAGGAAATGGAAACGAGGGTAGTAAATGTAATTCAAGTTAAACTTGTGTTTGGCGTTCGTAGAACTTGGATGGAAGGAGAAGGTGAAAATGCAATCAAACAGAGATCTTCTAATTTTGTAAGCCTAGCTGACATTGATTTCGAACAGTCATCATTTGTGCTATATTGACAAAACTGGGTGTGGCACGTGTTGCCCAACTTCTGGATTATCAGATATGTTGCATCGAGTCTGAAGTCTTACTGTACTTTGTTCTAATGCACATTCACATATTTTTTTTGCAGTTTTATATCAATTCTAATATCAAACCTTATGATATGTCGCCCTTTAGCGATATGTAGTCCCACTGGCCCCATTTTATGTAGCCTCACTCACTATTAGCAGCTCTGATATTTGCGTTTTTCTTTTTCCATTTTCCTTTTTCTTTAGGTTGGCTACCCACTTGTTACCCTTCTTCTCTGTCTCGGTGATCCTCAAATATTTCACAGCAACCTAAGCCCACACATGGAGCAACTTTACAAGCTGTTAAAGGTAGGTTTGTTCTGTAACTTCATTCTAAGTGGCAGATGGGACAACTCTTGGTGGTCATTTCAGACACATCTTGCGCCACTATCATTTTGGCTGGACATCAGGCAGCACATTCACATGCCTTATGCGTTGCTCATTGTGCAGGACAAGAATCATCGTTTCATGGCTCTGGACTGCCTTCATCGAGTTTTGAGGTTTTACTTGAGTGTTCATGCAGCTAGTCAGCCCCAGAACCGTATATGGGACTACCTTGACAGTGTAACTTCACAGCTCTTAGCTGTGGTAAGGAAAGGAACTCTTACGCAAGATGTACAACATGATAAACTTGTTGAGTTCTGTGTAACGATTGCGGAGCATAACCTTGATTTTGCCATGAACCATATGATATTAGAGTTGCTAAAACAGGATAGTAGTCCAAGCGAGGCAAAAGTTATTGGTCTTCGTGCTTTGCTTGATATTGTCATGTCACCTTCAAGTCCATATGTTGGCTTGGAAATTTTTAAAGGTAATGGATTACTCTTCAGGATGTTCTCTTAACTCCAGATTAACTTTTAGCTGACATTTGTTGCTTTAGCAGGACAGGATATTGGCCACTACAATACCCAAAGTTGAGGGCAGCGATTGAGTCAATTTTGAGGTCTTGTCATAGAGTTTACAGTCAGGCACTTTTGACATCTTCAAAAACAACCATAGGTAAGATATTTTTCCAAGTTTCTGAAGGAGTAAGTGCAAGAATCACGCTCTTGTGAATTCTCCTCCCTGCCTAGATGTGGATAGAAAGAGTATAAGTAATACGTGATTATAAGTCAGGTCATGTGCTTCAACTAGTCTTTTTCTTGTGGTCATATGCTTTCGAAATTCCCCGTCATATGTTATTGTTCATGCTTACTTGAATCTTGTGCTTTATCAGATGCTGTAACCAAGGAGAAGTCCCAAGGGTACCTCTTTCGTTCTGTATTGAAGTGTATACCCTATTTGATAGAAGAAGTTGGTCGAAGTGATAAGATCTCTGAAATCATTCCTCAACATGGAATAAGTATTGATCCTGGTGTCCGAGAAGAGGCTGTACTGGTATTGAACCGGATTGTTAAGTACCTTCCTCATCGCCGATTCGCAGTAATGAGAGGAATGGCGAACTTTATTCCTTCGGCTTCCAGATGAATTCCCTCTTCTCATTCAGACGTCATTGGGACGTTTGTTGGATCTCATGCGTTTTTGGAGAGCTTGTTTGATTGAGGATAGATTAGATATTGGTGTTGATGATACGAAGCGAGTGCCGCAGAGAAATTCAGGATTTAAAAAATCTTCTTTCCAATCCGACTGAAGCGATTGACTTTCATGCATCAGACATAGATGCTGTTGGATTAATCTTTCTTAGTTCTGTAGATAGCCAGATTAGACATACAGCACTGGAGCTACTGCGCTGTGTCCGTGCCTTGTGGAATGATATAGCAGACCTGACAGTGTACACGCAGCTGGATCTTAACTTGAGAACCGAACCAATATTTGTTATTGATGTCCTAGAAGAACATGGGGTGAGAGATTTATTATTATTATATTAGTATTATTATTGTCATTATTTGGATAGAATGGTGACAATTTATTATTGTCTATGTTCTTGAGTCCCTTATTAATTATTATGTATGAGGCCTTTCTTGATGAATGATTGGACTTATACACATGAATACTACAGGACGACATAGTTCAGAGCTGCTATTGGGATTCTGGGCGTCCATTTGATCTGAGACGAGAGTCTGATGCAATTCCTCCTGACGTGACTCTACAATCTATCATTTTTGAGAGTCCAGACAAAAATAGGTGGGCCAGGTGTCTGAGTGAACTAGTTAAATATGCTGCTGAGCTTTGCCCAAGCTCTGTTCAAGAAGCAAAGTAAGTATATTTGTTGCTGTATTTATGGTTGCTTACCCACTATTGTATGCTTTCTATTACAGCTTCCCTGTATCATAGTTTGGAGCAGGACATTCCCAAAAACTATCATAAGTTTTATTTTATTTGTGTTTCCTTTAATGGTATCATCTGAAAATCTTTGTAGCTTTTTACTATTGTATTTAGGATCCAGCCTAGGTGGAGAGAATCCTGCTTTATTTGACTATGTGCTTCCATAACAGTTATTAGAGTGATAGCGGTTCAAGTTATTTGCTGATACCAAGTAAACCTGATGAAAATTTATGAGGAACTCTTTTTTGTAAAATAATTATTTTAAGTTCTGTTAAAATCGACTTGCTTCTGCTGACAGTAACTCTCTGTCCTGTGTAGCATTTCAAATTTGATGAATCCCGATATTTCTGGTTCTCAATTTTAGTTTGTGACTTCTGGTTCTTTTAAGCTGGTTAGGTGAAAATTGTGTTAATTTTGTTACATTACTAATTTGGTTGGTGGTTTGACTGCACTATTTTATTTACGAATGAGAAGAGGAAGTGGTGTGACTGATGTTGTTTTATTGGCAGAGTGGAGGTAGTTCAACGCCTTGCCCATATTACTCCAACTGATTTAGGTGGCAAGGCTCAGTCGCTAGACGGAGACAACAAACTTGACCAGTGGCTCATGTATGCAATGTTTGCATGCTCTTGTCCCCCAGATAGTAAAGAATCTGGTGGCTTTCAAGCGGTGAAAGATCTCTACCATCTTATTTGCCCGTCATTAAGATCTGGTTCTGAAGAACATAGTAAGTGGATGTTTGAAAAAACTATCACTGTAGCTTCTCTATGTTAGTTCTGTTTTTAATTTGTTTTTTAGATGCCTTTTGGTTACTTTATTTTGTTGAGGTATCAGAAAGATGTTCACAGGGTAGAGTAATTTATAAGAAGGAAAACTAAGCTGGAACTTCTTGTGAACAATAATGGTAGCTTATAAGCCAGAACAATCCATGCCATTGTAGTGCACACTGGATTGGATTCGGAGGTGTAGGCAAGAACTGATGATCCGAGGTTGGAATAAGAGCTTGAAGCTCTCTATCACTGATTAACCACAGTCACAAAAGTTGCATGCAAATTGTGAAGCAATTTCGCAGCAAAGCACACATGTAATCGTCATCTGCGATTCTATCGCTATAATCTAGCCAAAGCATGCCAACTGCAAAAGTAGACTTAGTATTAGACAAGAAAGCAGCTTAGAAAGGATTCAAACAAGCTATAGCAGGGAAAGGAAAGGAAAGAGGAGGTCTGTTGGACAGATTAAGGGGCAAATGATTTACTTGATGATGGTTGTCGTAAGTTTATAGTTCGGAAGAAAAATCAATTGAGGTTTTCCTCTGTGTTAGATGTAGAACTTACACAGATAGATCACATATAACTGATTATCTTTAGAGCAAGAACCAGAAGTGTGAAACTTTTCCTAAGACTGGTATTCCTGAACAGAACAGGAAAGACATAACACAGAAGCGTATTCCTAAATCCTACCTGTAATAGAAAGACTAATATTCTAGGAATTGGCTCTTCTACCAACTTTCTAATGTTAGGTGTCTAATTTAATGAAGTAAGCAATTTATCTGACATTTTGGATCCTTCTCTTGTTCCCCATGATAAAAAAATCTGGTGTTTTTCCTTTTGGACAGCTATCTTGTGCGCATCTAGATTGCCATATAATTGTTGTTTGTGCTATCTTGTATGTTAGTAGACATGAATGAATTCTGTATAGCTTAGGTCGTGAATATCATGCTTTTATTTTCAATATAACAACAGTTATGTCTTTGTTTGGCATCAACAGCATGCAGCTACAATGGCTCTTGGGCGCTCACATTTGGAAGCATGTGAAATCATGTTCAGTGAGCTCTCATCTTTTGTTGACGAGGTTTCTCTGGAGACCGAGGCAAAGCCGAAGTGGAAGGTAAGGATGTTTTTTTTTATGAGTATAACTGTATCAGCTTGCAATTTGAGAGGATGGTTATTTTCTTTCAGCAAGAATCTTGACTGCAATGCTCATGTATGTATCATGAAGTGTATATTTGAGGTGATGCCTTCAGAATGTTGCTAGGATTCCATTCAAAAGTGTGGCTTTGTATTTAAAAAAACAATGGTGTGCCAGTCAACTAATTTTCTCTGTTTAAGCCATATACCAGAACATTTCATACTTAAACCACAACATGAATTTCTAAAGAAAAGATAGCTTAATTGGTTGCTATATTGTGAGAAGAGTATTTCCCGTTCCTTTATTATTATTATTTTTTGAATTAACATACAAATATGGAAATTAAAAGAACTTGCACACCTGTCATTAACTGTATTCCTTGATGGTTCCATACGTGATAAGAGGTATATCGATTGGGTATTTTGGATTCACCTTAAGTTTGTTGCCCATTTCCACTTTGTTTTCTTAGGTTGAATTCAAGTTTAGTTTCATGATCGTGGAGACTTGACTCCAATTTCCTACTCATGCTTGTGCAGAGTCAAAAATCACGCAGGGAAGAGCTCCGTCTACACATTGCAAATATTTACCGCACTGTTGCTGAAAACATCTGGCCTGGAATGCTTAATCGCAAACCTGTTTTCCGTCTTCATTATCTGAGGTTCATCGATGACACAACCAGGCAGATCCTAACAGCTCCCACTGAGAACTTTCAGGAGATGCAGCCTCTTCGGTATGCTCTTGCATCTGTTATAAGATTCCTTGCCCCTGAATTTGTTGACTCGAAATCAGAGAAATTCGACCTCAGAACCAGAAAGCGGCTGTTTGATCTTCTCCTGTCCTGGAGTGATGACACTGGTAGTTCGTGGGTGCAAGATGGCGCTAGTGATTATCGACGTGAAGTTGAACGGTACAAGTCTTCCCAACATTACAGGTCAAAAGACTCTGTCGACAAAATTTCATTCGATAAAGATTTGAGTGAGCAGATCGAGGCAATCCAGTGGGCCTCCATGAATGCTATGGCTTCACTCTTATATGGACCTTGTTTTGATGACAATGCAAGGAAAATGAGTGGTCGGGTTATATCTTGGATCAACAGTTTGTTTAACGATCCTGCACCTAGGGCTCCATTTGGTTACTCTCCAACTCCGTCTCACTCCAAATACACAGGGGAAAGTGCACGTGGAGTTGCTGGTCGTGATAGACACAGGGGCAGCCATCATCGTGTTGTGCTGGCAAAATTAGCTTTGAAGAATCTTCTTCTTACGAATTTGGATCTCTTCCCGGCTTGCATTGACCAGGTGATATTACCTCCCCTTTCCCATTTCACTGGTATTTTTCCACTGCAAGAAAAATACTAGTCCTGACATGAACTTCGTAGTTATGCAGCCATGATAAAAGTTAAAACTAATATGAAACAAACTAGATGATTTTTATTGGTCACTAATGCTCCTACTGGTTCTATCCTGTTGAGTTATTTTTTCAATTTTAATTTCAGAAAGTAAACCATTAAACTGAGACAAGCATACCGTTAGAAATGTCCATTTTAAGCTTATTTCTAATGAGTTTCTACGAGTTCTTTTTTCCTGTTCTAATTAGTAAGCAATGTTTGCAGTGCTATTACTCTGATGCTGCTATTGCCGATGGCTACTTCAGTGTTCTAGCTGAGGTCTATATGCGCCAAGAGATACCAAAATGCGAAATACAGAGGCTTCTGAGCCTGATCCTCTACAAAGTGGTGGACCCAAATAGGCAGATTCGTGACGATGCCCTTCAGATGCTGGAGACACTTTCTGTTCGCGAGTGGGCTGAGGATGGGATGGAAGGTTGTGGGGGGTATCGAGCCGCTGTTGTGGGCAATCTCCCTGACTCCTACCAACAATTCCAGTATAAGCTTTCATGCAAACTAGCCAAAGACCACCCAGAATTAAGCCAGCTTCTTTGTGAGGAGATAATGCAGAGGCAACTTGATGCTGTCGACATAATTGCACAGCATCAGGTGTTAACCTGCATGGCCCCTTGGATCGAAAACCTTAATTTCTGGAAACTCAAGGACTCAGGGTGGAGCGAGAGATTACTGAAGAGCCTTTATTACGTCACGTGGCGTCATGGGGATCAGTTTCCGGATGAAATCGAGAAACTGTGGAGCACAATTGCTAGCAAAGCAGGAACATCAGTCCAGTTTTGGATTTCTTAATCACAAAAGGGATTGAAGATTGTGACTCCAATGCATCTGCAGAAATAAGTGGTGCGTTCGCGACATATTTCTCAGTCGCAAAGAGGGTGAGCTTATATTTAGCCCGGATATGCCCACAGCGTACGATCGACCACTTGGTTTACCAACTTGCTCAGCGAATGTCAGAAGACAGTCTCGAACAAGTCGGCCCGAGTGTGACAACTAAGGGCGATCCAAGTGCTAGCTTCGTCTTGGAATTCTCTCAGGGCCCTGTAGCTGCCCAAATTGGTGCTGTTGTCGATACCCAGCCGCACATGTCACCTTTGCTCGTCCGGGGTTCCCTAGATGGGCCCCTCAGAAACAGCAGTGGAAGTCTGAGCTGGCGGACATCTGGTGTAACCGGGCGCAGCGTCTCAGGTCCTCTCAGTCCAATGCCTCCAGAACTAAATGCCGTCCCAGTGACAGCTGGCCGATCAGGACAGCTTCTTCCAGCACTAGTGAACATGTCTGGTCCATTGATGGGAGTTAGAAGCTCCACAGGAAGTATACGTAGTCGGCATGTATCTCGAGACAGTGGAGATTACCTCATTGACACTCCAAACTCTGGTGAAGACGGCTTGCATCCTTCTGCCATCGGCATGCATGGCGTAAATGCCAAAGAGCTTCAGTCAGCACTACAAGGCCATCAACAGCATTCCCTTACTCATGCAGATATAGCACTGATTCTCCTCGCTGAAATTGCTTACGAGAACGACGAAGATTTCCGTGAGCACTTGCCTCTGCTGTTCCATGTCACTTTTGTCTCCATGGACAGTTCGGAAGACATCGTGCTGGAACACTGCCAGCACTTACTCGTCAATTTGCTCTACTCGCTCGCCGGGAGACATCTAGAATTGTATGAAGTGGAAAATAGCGATGGAGAGAACAAACAGCAGGTGGTCAGTCTAATAAAGTACGTACAATCGAAGCGAGGAAGCATGATGTGGGAGAATGAGGACCCCACAGTTGTTCGACCATCTCTCCCGAGTGCAGCACTTCTATCAGCACTAGTACAGAGCATGGTGATGCTATCTTCTTCCAAGGAGATCTCCGTGAGACTTGGGGTGCTGAAGCTCTCAAGTGGGCCATGGAGTGCACATCGAGACACTTGGCTTGCCGGTCCCACCAGATCTACCGTGCACTCCGACCCAGTGTAACGAGTGACACGTGTGTCTCCCTCCTCAGATGTCTTCACAGGTGTCTTGCTAACCCTGTTCCCCGGTCTTGGGATTCATAATGGAAATCTTGCTTACTCTGCAAGTAATGGTGGAGAATATGGAGCCAGAGAAGGTGATACTCTACCCTCAACTGTTCTGGGGCTGTGTTGCAATGATGCACACCGATTTCGTTCATGTCTACTGCCAGGTCCTCGAGCTCTTCTCTCGAGTCATCGACAGGTTATCTTTCCGTGACCGGACTACCGAGAATGTCCTCCTTTCCAGCATGCCTCGTGACGA